TACTACTACTACTACTACTACTACTACTACTACTACTACTACTACTACTACTACTACTACTACTACTACTACTACTACTACTACTACTACTACTACTATTTTACCTCTTGGACGCATTCTGTACCAGTTCCATAGTCTTTTTGAGGTAAGGCAGTGCAACATGAATAACCTCGGTCCCAGGAATATTGTGAGGCGCAAACATCTGATTTAAGTGCTTACTCCAATTGAACTAGAAAAGAAAAAAAATGGTTCTTTAAATCCTCCTTCTGACGACGTTTTTCTCTCGATTGGGTTTTTAGGGTTTTACAGGTCTCTCTCTCTGTCCCACAGTTGGTTGACATGGCCAGGATCACACGTACACAGTGCAAGCTTTGGCAAACGTTGGATTGGCAGGCAAAAATGAAATAGCCAGCAATTGTACAGACAAGAAGGTTCGTAAAAACGCGATTAGCAACTTGATGATAATAGCGTAAAGGTTTTGGCCAATGAAATGCGACTTTTAGTTTACCCAGATCCGCAATTTGGTACCTCTTAGGGTGTTTTGAGGCAATAGGATACCTGAGGTTAAATGATGACAGTCAGAAGGMCAGTTGTTATTCCAGATATTTATTTTCGTTTCATTATCTGACTTCTTTCATTAGTTCCCACGCCCAACTGGACAGGACTCAGGTAGCTCTTAGGGGTCCAGTCATTTCAAAACTTCCAACGAGCATTCTCTCCCTTCTATATATAGGAGTCCCCCCGGGCTTTACTCATTGATACGTGTGACATACTACGAGATCTCCCCCGTACTTTTCGCCACAGCTGCGCCATGGGTATGAGTACGGTCCTTAAGAGAAGTAGGATTGCGAGACGAAGTTGGTCGATGACTGGATATGTTTACAAATACTGTAAAGTTTGATAATTAACGTCAATACATACCTGTGGTACTTCCTGCTGTAATTGATCAAGTGTCAAAATCCTCAATGGAGTTTCATCAGGATCATTCAGATTCTAGCACATGAGTATTAACGTTATTATATTACTAAATAAATAATAAATAACTTTAATAACTCATAGCTCGCATTACTATTAAAAACTAGTATTTCTAATTAATATTCCAAAAGACCATAAAGTCATGATAATTTAATACTTAAAGATCATTAGAGTTATTGCTTATAACTCATTAAACAAAATTTAAGAAATCGTAATTTTTTGAAATGCAGTCAAAAGAGAATACAACCATCTACTAAAGTTACAGAATCAATGGAAATGAGGGCGATCTCTTGCCCCCTCTCCTCCCCCCGAAATTAATTGACAACTAAAAATGTTAAGCATACGAAGTCACAAAACTACACTAACTTCTTCAAGTTTGGCCTCAAAGTCGAGAAGCTCTTGTACTTTAATTGCGATGCTCGTGTTTCCGCCCAAAAATTTCACCACATCAGTGATGTATTTTTCAGCGGCAGTTCTCTAAAACGGAAATCAATAAATCGATAAATCAATAAATAGATCAATCAATGAAATTAATATAAATTACGTTCCAATAGTCCTATTGTCGTTGTCGTTTATATAGATCTGCCATACAATGCAACTTCGCTTCGACGTAAGTTCCAAAATGGCGACGGGAACTGTAAATAGGACTATTGCATTCTCGTACCCAGACCCTTCTCAACAAAAGATTGATTCGATTTTTCTTTATAAAGCTGAGAAGGCTTTGGGTACAAGAATAAGACTATTGCTGTTTTTTGATTGTTAGTTGTAGGTGGCGAACGCGTGTGTTCATGAATGAGAGATGTGTGAGAGGTGACTATTATTGAATGGTGAGCGTTTTCTTGGTTTTGAGCATTTGATAGACGCTGCAATAAAGTGTGACTGATTTACACAACAACAGCAAAATTAATAGTAACGGTTGTCGCCTAGTGCTATACACTAGTGGTGCTCCATGTTTAGCGTCCCAAGTGTGAGACAGCACTCTTCAGCACTACTGAATGTCTAATAATTGTTTTCGAGCCATAACTTACGTTTGGCGCCATTTGAGAATCTTCTTCTTCGTGTTCAATCTGACCGATCTGTATCAGGGAGGTAAATAATGCACATGCATTAAACATCAATCATAACGTTCAGTTATTTAGACTCGTGTACTCTTTCTTCTGCTACTCACAGTAATGGAATATGGATCAGCTCTGCTCTTTGCTTTGGTTTTCACAGAAAATAACGGCCCTCCCTCAGACTGGTAGTTCTTATGAATGAAACCAATTGTTGTATTGAAGTTCCAGTTATCCTCGTTCCAGATTCTGTCTTCTTCCACCATGCTCCAGCCTCCCAAATCATTGATCCGTTCCTTCAAAGGTTGCACACCAASATTGTCAATGGCTTTCTGGTTCATGCACGATTTGTACAAATTTAAAGGTAATTTTACAAGATCTTTATTCGCTCCGTAGATCGTTATTGTCCCTGTTTTTAAGATTTTTGTCAAAAACCTTTGTTTTTTCTGTTCTATCTCGTCTCTGATCTTGTAGGATGACAAAGGTTTACCACTTGGCAAAGTAGTGTTTTGCAGCCATCTCCCACAAGCGTACTCATAAAAGTCATCGCAAGGGTCTACAGAAGTGTTCATCGAACTTTCGATTTGTTTGGCTGCCTCAATACATTCCTTTTCATTACAAACCTTGCTAGATTTGGCGTTATTTTTGCCTGTTGTCTTGACATATCTTGGTGATCGAATCTTGTTCAAACCTTGATAAAGAGTACTCATCTTGTTCTGACTTGCTGCTACGTGGATCATGGATATCACCAGTAAGAATGCCAAGAAACGAGGACAATGGATTAACGACCATCGCTTGTTTTCTTGTTTCCCACCGCTGCCACCATTCATCATTCTTCCCATCACGAATACACTGATTGTTGCTACGTGTCTGTTATGATACTAGCTGCCGTTCTCATCAAAGAGTATTACCAGAACTGTAGGCTGTTTGATCTAGTTGTGTTTAAATAAAGTTTTTTATTATTAATTAGGTCTTTTTCTCTACCAGTAAAGCAAACGTGTCTTATCCTACCTGAATTCCATTCGAATTCATTGTAACTTTTCTTTATCTTTTAAATATTTTGTTGTTGAAAGGATTTACCTGCTGCTGTCTCCTAAAATCTAAACCGTAAAATTTGGTTGGTGTTACATGACCGCTTTTCTTCTGTTTATGGCGGCAACGTTTCTATGAAAACATGTTTCGGTTAACTAATTTATTCAATATTTTTGCTACAATATTAACCATTGCGTGACCATTAGTACAAATACTGACAAATATTTATCTCACTTGATTCAAAGCGCTTCAGGAGAAGCATCTCTCCTATATGTCTTGTTTTTTGTCATCTTTTTTATATTGTCTTTCTCTGATTGCGAAAAAAACTAACTGCTGTTGTTAGACTTGCTTAGAAGTAAATAGCCAAATAGTTTTAAAAGATCAAAATAGACAAAAAATCAAGCTTTATTATTGTTGAATATTTTTGAATTGAGATAAATGGTTTTAGTTATTTGTCATTACGTGAGCCTATCAGAAGGTTCTTACGACTACCAGTTAAAAAATAAGTACCCTATGGGTACGTGAGTCTACGGTGCACGAGGTTGTGTTTTCATTATCTAGTATTACTAGATGGTCTTTGAAGTAGAGTGATTTACCAAAACCCCGTGGGGAAAAAAAAGCGTAATATAGGAAGGAGAAGACAAAATAGAGAAAAAGGCTTGCTAATAAAGAGTAATATGTTTAAGTGTGTTTCACGGGTTTATGGAAAGCACTCCGAAATAAAATATATATCAAGTCAACGCAAATTAGAAAATGAGAACATTTAGGCTTTTTTTTAATACAACAAAATATGATGTACAACATTATTAAGATAAGGTTTAACACAACGTTTTATTTTACCAAACTGAGATGTCTTCAACATACATTTTATTGTTCTTTTTCGGCCCATAGAATTGCAGTTGACTCCAACCTATTTCAAGTCATTTGTATCGTTACAAATACAAACTTTTTTAGTTTGGCTTATTTGTAAAAAAATTCAAACAGATTAGAGTCACTGAGACTTCTGCATACCTGAAGAATCTATAAACGGTAATTGAAACGAGAAGAGTACAAATATTAAATTTAATAGTATAATTCAGTTCTTGTGCGACAAAAGAAACCAAAATAATATTCACCAAATAGTACAATTTAGTTTTGTTAATGTTTTACACATATACTGCCACATCAAGGTATTTCTTGAAATGAAAACGCCATTGAAAGCTGTTATTTACTAATAGAAAGTGAGTAAAACAATAATAAACGTCAAATACTCACAAAAAAAACAACAAAAAAAACCGCGATTTTTGTGACTGAAAGTCCGTAGCGAACGATCCGAGTAAAGCTCTATCCATGTGCTTTTCATGGTTGTTGTGTTCGAATTCGCTATGAATGCTGGGAAGTCTTACTCACTCACGGAGGTTACTACTTCATGTAAGACCTCATGAAGTGTCACACTACCATAAACATCGTCCTATTATATACAATAGTGCCACTTCATGAGGTCGTACATGATCATGAAGTAGTAACTCACGGAGGCGATAGCATAGAGTCTCGATGCCCTTTTAAGGGCACCGTAGACTCAAAAAGAATCGTCTGAAAGACAAACTTTGAAATGAAAATATTGAATTTGTCTTTCCATTATGACAGAAAACTACCTCCTTAGATCCCTCAGATCTACTGGATCTGTATTGTATTACTCTTCCACCTTGATAGATCGTTGACAGATCGACCTTGCATTTTCAACCAATAGAAAATTTTCGTTGTGTGCATGGGGAACGGGTAAGGAACGATTAATTTCTTAGAGTGTTGTCTGCAGTTTCAATTTATGTTGTTTGTTTGTGGAGACTCAACACGAATAACAGGAATGTAGAAATCAAGTACGGCTCAGCGGTAGTGCACTCGATCGCCTCTCACCTCTGGGGTCCGGCAAGTTGGATTCCTGGACTTTGGATCGCATGTAAGAATAGTTTGTAAGTCCTTTCCTTGATTCGACGCTTTTTCTCCAGGTTTTCTGGTTTTCCTCTCGCTCCCCACTGACAAAACATTACCTGCATGACAAGCCAATTTTCAATTCGATCTTTGAGTTAGCCGCCATGTCCTTACTTAGATCGGCCCAGAGCTAGCCTGTTTTAGGTTCGATCTGTAAACTAGCCATTAAATGACGTTGATAACCCCAGCGACTGATGTTTCAGTGTTGTGTTATGGTGCTTTCCTCATTGCTGTTGTTGCGTGGTTCGGTGGAGAAGAAATATGGGCTTCCTAGACAGTGATTAAAGACCGGATTCGCCCAGCTTGTTTAGTATCTGTATAAGCGAGTGACCCGAGTGGAATTGTATTCCCAGTGTCAAAACAATTTTGTTTCTTTTCTTTTCTAATCGGCACTATTTCAATTTGTTTCGTTGCAGTCTATTTTTTATTCTTCTATGATTTTTATTTAAGTAGTGTCTATAACTCAGATCACGAGATTAGTTTACAAAAATTAGCAAGTAAAGTTGTTATTGTTACTATTATTTCAAATTCCATTTATTTGTTATAGCTATTTAAAGTTTCCATTTTCAATATGTGAAGAGTATCCAGATCCAGGACTTGGGACGGCTACTAGTACAAATTTCCATCTTTGCTCCAGAGATTACACTTATGAGGGGGATTCATCGGACTGTACTTCTTACATTTGAACGCGTTGGCGAACTCACAAGAGTTGCATAACGCACCAATCACCCTGTGGCCGGAATAAAACATAAAATCAGTTTCACACGAGTACAGATAAATTTACGCAGATATCACTATAATAGTCAATTAATGTGCTGGAAAAAAAATACCGGTTAACGAATTAATGGTTTATTCATAATATGGCCCGTCGAGAAAACAGTCTTTACAGAGACATAAACAGCCGTTTTCAACAATTGTGCGAGGCGTGTCTCAGGCCTCTGATATMAACACGGTAGCCAACCAATCAGCAAACGCGTTATATTTAATCTAACCATACCCAAATTTGTCATCATAGGATCCAGCTTTAATAAAAGCTTTGTGTAGTCCATCAGGGGTTCCCTTGCGGCAATACGTCTGTCGTAAAAAGCAATTTTGTTATACATTGTTCAAATAGAATAGCTGATAATAAAGAAAGATAAAAACTTTTAACTTCATTTAAAAAAATTCAAAATAATACATGAAAAAAAATTAACCTACAGATAACCGCCATCCGCTGACCTATGCAGGCTCGCTTTTGCAGATAACTGCCTACAGACAACTATCGACCGCTGAAAAATCTCTGGCGTATTCGGGTAGCTAACCAACCAACCAACCAACCAACCAACCAACCGACCGACCGACCGACCGACCGACCGACCGACCGACCGACCTTATTCTTAAGAGAATGATACGTTGACTGAAATGGAAAACATTTACTAAAGGTAAAGAGGTCTATTGACTGTGATCAGGAGTGATTTCACTTCTTTTGCTTACCTGAGCAAACGCTGTGTAGAATAGCTGCTCATTTGTTAGATTGAGTTCCGGTAGCAGCCATGTTTTACTGGGATTTTGCTGTGCCCAATCATGATACGCCTGATAAAGATACACAAATCAGAAATCGAGAATATTAAAAAAAAAATTGAAACAACAGCATGACCGAAACCTTCCCTGTTTAGATAGCCTCCTTTTCTTTTTCTTTTTCTGGATTGCCGGCATTCGCGAGGAAAAGGAGACTGCCTCCAACTTTCAACTTTTCTTATGCGCATGCCTGAGCGTTAATGGGCAACTGACATAAGAAATAATGAGCTCATTAATAGTCATCAGTTATCGTAAAAAGATATGCTCACTAGTATTGCAGGCTCAAAAATCTTACAGCAGACTTTTTGGTTGTCATGCATGGAGGTGTTCAACTCAAAAACTCAGTTTTAATGCGTTTTTTTTCGCCCACAATCATGGACTGTGTTGGATCAAATAGTTTAACGGATCGGGACACAGAGGCTTTTCTTTTTCTCCCTAGCCTCTCCCCGGAAAAAAAAGAAAAAAAAGGGCCTCTGCAAGCAGAGTAGGCCAAAACAGTGCGGTTTATCGACTAAAATCTTGTTACATTCTTATGACCGATTTTATATTAAAAGGCTGGTAGATTCATATATCGCGTAAGAATCACGAGAAGTGAGAAATTTAAGTTATTATTTAATTTATTCATTCAAAAAGGTATATCTTTGTTTATCGTTATTTTTATACTGCTTTTACCTTGTTGGCCGCTTTTAAACCATCAGTGTCAATGTTTTCGTCCAAGTAATTATGTTTGCCGTCGACCAAAAAAAAGAAAGAGAAATTGGCCCGTGTTCATAAAGAAATCAGTTACAAAATCAGACAATTGTAGATAGATTAAATATAAGACATTACTTTAGCTGTTACTCCGAGTTTCACGCTTACACCATCATGAGACAGACTTGAATGAAGAATATATCTTACTTAAGTGGCCTACATATGGGCGGCGATATCTATATTTAGTGTAATTGTGGATAGACCCTTTCACGGTTTCCGACGCCATATTGTTTGGGGGGCAAAATTACTAAGGAGCGTAGGGGAAAGAGATACGTTTTTCGTTATATTTCCTTTCTGAGGTAAATTTTCGAGACCAAACTTTTTCTGTAGATGGATAATCTTCTGTTCAATTTTTTCCAATGCTACTAAATAGTGCAAAGTGTTGCACACTTTTAGTGTTTGTACTCTACTATGATATGATCTCTATCATGACCACTACTGGCAGAAACCCTACAAGCCCCTGGAAACGACCCTGACATATTTGCCATGTTCCAAACAAGCTGTACTGGATATACTGCGTGGCAAAACGCGGTCCCCCGGTATCAATATGCTGTAGTGATCTCTATTACCATTGATGAAATGTATCAGTATAATTTATGCTTACGTAAATGTTCCATTGTATCATAGCTCCCAGGATGCATTGCGATCTTAGAGTATGCATCATGTAGTGTAGTTCTACAAAATTGCGGATTAAAACAAAGTCGTGTTTTCCCGCTCTTTTCTTGTTACATAAGCGTCCTCAATCGAACCCAATTAATTACCATCACTGACAAGCCCCTGACATACCTGCCATCTTCCGAACAATTTGTACTGGGAGTACTGCCTGATAAAACACCGTCCCTTGATCTCAATATTCCGTAGTGATCTCCTTGACCACCCCTGACCAGTCGAGAAAGGTAGACCATTCTTGTCATATTTCCTTCCTGAAAAATATAGTATCATGGTAAGTTTTGCCGTTTACAAATGACTGCTATAAATTTATATCTGGGTTACTTGTAACATACAAATCAATACATACACTGAGATGTTACTTAGGGAGGACTGTTGGGTTTTGAGTATTTGGGAGTCATTTGGGGAAAACTCTTACCTATGAGACCAAAGGCAAGCGTGATTGATTTCCCTATATTTGCACCCATCGCGCCAAAATTAACAGCCCTGCAAAAGATACGAGTTAAAGCCGAAAAACTGCACGCATATATTTGGGACTTGTTTATAGCCTCTCAAATAGCTCAGTCCTACGATACGTTTCAGTATTGGGTGGCTTTCAAGGCAAGTCGTTTGCGAAAAGCGTTGGGTTTCAAGCAATCTTCTTTAGGGATCGCGCCAGCTATGCATTGCTTTTCACAGGATATTCACTACCTCAGTTCGTACCTTAGGTATTCACTTTCATAAAAGAAAGGTGGTCGCAGGCTGGTTAAAGGCTGGACTACAACAGATATAATAAATACATAACTGATTAGGGACAAAATAACAGAAAAAAATGTTTATGGTTTATGGAAAAGACACAATTTTAAATAAGTCAAATAAACGTAATTATCTGCTGTTCATCCATATGATGGTTCTTTTCTTGCGCAACGCTTTTCTCGAAAACAAGTCATAAAAGAGAACATTTTGAAGTGGAATGTCAGGAAGCATATATAATTAAACACTATTTTGTTATTAGATGATTATCAAAGCTGGTCGGTTAATAGGGTGTTTGGTGTTATACATAGTATATTTGATAGAACCAATTTGGCCCCACGGAGCCGTTTTGTCATTTTTATAATAGGGTGCTATTTTGGCAGCCCAGAAGTGCACCAGTTCATTAGTGCTGTTTTGGCCCAGGAATAGGCCAAAATGGTACATTGGCTTCCAAAGAGCCAATTTTTTCTATATACATTTACTGCTGTGTTGGCCCAAGGGTTAGCCAAAATTTGATGAGCTGTTATGTGCGTGTTTTCACTTCTCTTTCTTCCCCTTTAATTCCATTTGTTGCTGTTTTTCTGTTGTTTTTTTTTGTGTGTGTTTTCACTTCTCTTTTCCATAATTTTTTCCTGATTTCTCCCCATATAACCGCCATGTTTATATCGACCAGCCGATGCGCATCCATCCAATCGAATATTGAATATATTGGAACGATCCCTATCCCAACTTATAAACCTTAATAACGGTGCCTCAATTGTATTGGACTTTGAATAATCTCTTGATCAATCTCGTACCCAGATCCCTTATATCTTACTGTGCGTGGTCCACCAAATAATTGGGAATTATTTCGTTGAGCTTGCGCAGGAAGAAATACTAAGGGCCCAGGGTACGTACGAGATCTAGGCTGATTAAAGTTAGGGCACAGCTAATCTGTCGTCGAACTTTGCTGCGCCGAATCTAAAAATTTCATAGTTTGTACATGAAATTCGATAATATATTTTGAGCTTATTGATATTATTGGAAAGAGCCGGAGTTCCAAAATCGCTTTGTAGACAAGGTGATGGCCCCGTGTAGATAACCTGTCACTTATTACCTGCTGTGTATTGGAACATTGTGACTTCGTAACATACTTAAGAGTACCTACCAAGGAAGTTAGTATCATAGATGTAACGAGCCCCATCTTCACCCTCGTGAGCAAACACTGGCCACCCGCTGAGAAAATGGTTAAAAAAAATAACGTCGTATGACGCTGTAAATTTAACGAATTATGATGCGCTATTTCATTAAGAATCTGAGTTATCGAATGGTGCAATATATGTAATTGATCCATCTATCCATCTATCCATGCGTGCATGCATCCATCCAAAAAGGCATAGGAATGCAACAAAAGGCAAAGATATAAATTTAGGAACTGCCTAAAAGCGGACCTCCCAATAGGCACAGGTAGCCCAATTTAGATAAAACTGAAAGATGGAAATAAATTCGGGAAAGAAATTTTCAATTACTTTTTTAATTCGAGATGAAGATAATGTCCCCCATAATGAAAACCATACAGTGAACGCACTACATCGTTTTCTTCGACCTTACTACTGTTCCACTTAGGAATTTTGTCACATACACAACGCAGCTCCAGTTTTGTTCTTGAAAATTCTTTGAAAGATTTTTCTATGGCCGACATCTTTACGCTTTGAATTCCTGGTCAATTTTAAGCGAATGATAACTACAGATAATGCAATACAACATTAAATTCAATGAAATTTAACTTGGATGTCCATTCCAATCCAAATTTTGGATTTCATCACCCATTCCGAACTCAAAACAAACCGACTTCGTTATTTATCATTAACAGATCATATACTTACTGATCAACGGAAACAGGTTGCCTAAATTTCATCAACATTTGTAGGTGATTGAACTTAGATAAGGCTATTTTGTTTTTGAAATATTCATCTTTTTTGAGGGTGAGCTGTGAGGAGACAGAGAAGTAAAGTTATGCAATATTTATAGTTAAGAGTTCTTTCTGTGTTATTGTGAAGTAAGGAAATAATCATTACAGGCTGTACTTACAGTGTCGTATTTCTTAAATTTCTGTTTCACTCTTTCAGGGCTTGAAAGATAGTCCGGAAAGCCAATTTCGTTTCTCATGTTGTCAATCTGTAATAATATGTTGAACATTGCACTGCTAGCACCAAGTTATTTTTGATATCAAATTTACTACAACTATGCAAACTTAACTGAAAATATTTGTGTCTTAGGTCTAGGGCAAACGTCGAACTTCCCATGCACCGAACTTAATTACATCAAAGAATGCCGCCTCATTATCACCTGATATCCATTGTTTTTAATGAGTTCGGTACATGGAAAGTGTATGGTGTATGGCAGGGGTTTTACAGCGCAACGCACAAAAGTATGACCACATTTGATGTATTCGCATACTTCTATGAAAGAGCTTTTTCCTGCCAAACRAGCAGCGTGTTGATTGTTAGAATCTAGGATAATCAAAGCACATTATATCATTATATCAAATCCAGTTAAATTGACGCACTAGTTTTGCGAAGCGAGCGAGAATGAAATTGTCCAAAATTCGCTGTGAATTAGTTTGGATATAATGATTAATAATGTGCTTTGATTATCCTAGATTCTAACAGTGTATTTTTTTAAAGAGTTTTTAAGCGTTTAGCCTATTACTGCCCCGAAAATCGAACAGTGCATTTTATAGTTATGGGGTTTTTTCTACTCATCCTCAGGTACGATTTTTCTGAAATTTTCAGACTATCTTAACGTCTGGATAGAAAGTCTAGGACAGAAAAAAGTTAAAACGCCGCTTGAAAATTTGATCTAAAATTTGAAGCAAATAAAACATTGCTGTAGAAACATTACCATATTGAATGGATTGCCTGGAAGTTTTCACATATCTATTTCCAAGTACTGCGGATGAGCATTAGGAAAAATCAGCGTCAAATCTTAAGAATTCATCGAATAAATTTTTTTTTGCTGATTGTCGTTGTTAACCTCAAATATTTTCAAAAAATCACATTTTCGCCACTTTCTTCAAAACGGTTCCAAGTTTTTTCTTCAAGCTTCCTAACCAGCCGCCATAACTTAGAAGTATACAGTTTTGACTGTAGGCATTTTCGGCTACCCCAGATGCAGGTACTGAGATTGTATATTAATATAATGTGTTAAATGAATATATATATAAGCCATTTACCTTTTCATTTATTTTCTTTCTAGACTCGGCATCAACCCAGATAAGGTGGTTCACGTTTCTTTTCAAGGCTTGGCGTATTGCATTTGTCAGTTCTTCCACCTAAAGAAATAAGATCAGGCATGCAAGAAAAAAAAAAAAAAAAAAAAAAAAAAAAAAAAAAAAAAGAATGACAGACCACACGGATGCACAAGAATGAAATTAAAAAATAAAAAATAAAAAAATAAAAAAAAAAAAACCCAACAAACAAATAAAAAACCATATTAGGAGAAAGACAAATACATACTTGGCTAAAACCACTAAACCAAGCGAGTGAAAGTGTTAATGCACGAACCGATGAAAAGGTAATCCCGATGCTGGATTTAGGGGAGCCCTTGAAGAGAGCATATACAACAACATCGCATTTTATTCTACATTTTATGTAACACAGGTTTCCAATCCCTCCCAAAAACCTGCTTACCATATTTTTAATCCTTTTTATCCTTTTGCCATAAGTTGTGACGTATGCAGCTTGTATTAAATCCATAAAGGTCGACTCAGTTTCATCGACGCACTGTTCCTTGCGTTTCGCTATGGAAATGGGTACTTTTTTATTGAAGCTTGAATAAGCCACCTCCTTCTTGATCACGTGCCATACCAGGTAATTGGCTAACACACTGTAGTGGTAAACAGATGCATTAATGTTTTTTCATTTTTCTTTCTGGCGTTTTGTTTTTGTAATGGTAATGGTAATGGCGATGGTAATGGTAATGCCTACTTCTACTAGTAGTATCAAGACTGTTCAGTAATGGCAACAAGAAATGAAAACAACAATATAAAATTGAATAGATATCAATAACTTTAAGATTATCAACATTTGCATTTTTCTTAATTGAAATACATGAAAAAGGGATAGGGATCTCTTTAAAAACCGAGGAAATCTCACCACGTACAGTATTCTATGGATTTGAAGAAGGAAAATTGACGGATGCTAAAGAAGACGAGACATGAAGGGCTAATAGAAAATGACCGAATATTTTACCTCTTAGAGGCATTCTGTATCAGTTCCATAGTCTTTTTGAGGTAAGGCAGTGCAGCATGAATAATCTCGGTCCCAGTAATATTGTGAGGCGCAAACATCTGATTTAAGTGCTTACTCCAATTGAACTAGAAAAGAAAAAAGAATCCTTTAAATCCTCCCTCTAACGACGTTTACTTTGTCGGTTGGGTTTTTAGTGTTTTACAGGTCTCTCCCACAGTTGGTTGCATGGCCAGGATCACACGTACACAGTGCAACCTTTGACAAACGTTGAGTGGACATGCAAACATGAAATAGCCAGCAATTGTAAGGACAAGAAGGTTCGTAAAAACATGACTAACAACTTGATGGTAATAGCGTAAAGGTTTTGACCAATGAAATGCGACTTTTAGTTTACCCAGATCTGCAATTTTGTACCTCTTAGGGTGTCACAAATCTAAAAGGACTACCAGAGGGTATGCCAGTACCTCTTAGGGTGTTTTTGAGGCAATAAGATACCTGAGATTATATGACGACAGTTCAAATGGCAATGGTCATTAAGGATATTTATTTTCGGTTCATTATCTGACTTCTGTCACTTTGATCATTGGTACCTTTTAGAGATAAGTCATTAGTTCCCACGCCCAACTGGACATAACTGAGCATCCCCACCCTTCTATATATGAGTCCCCCCTGGTCGTTGCTATTTGCTACGTGTGACAGCCAATGAGCTCTCTCTCGTACATTTTTTCAACAGCACGCCATGGGTATAAGTAGGATCCATAGTAGGACTAGGTAGGAATAGTAGGACGAGGTTGGTGAATGACTTCGGCTATTTTTTGCAAAATACTATACAGTTTGATAATTAACGTCGATATCTACCTGTGGTACTTTCTGCTGTAATTGATCAAGTGTCAAATTCGTCATTGAACTTTCATTAGAATGCTTCAGATTCTAGAACATTGAACATTACCATGAGTTTTACCATTGTTTTATTTTTGATAAATAATAAATAAATTTAATATTTATACATATTTCATATACATATTCTCGATCGCATGCGCGCACTACTATTGAATATTAATATAATTTTAGACTTGAATACAGAGTTTCTCGAGCTGTTAAAAAATTGACCAAAAAGACTGGCGGATCGGTAAATATTCCAACGACGATCGTTTCCTCTTCGGTGGATTATTGTAAACTATTTTTACTATTAAATATTCCAAGAGCCAAAAAAAGTCACAGATCGTTTTACGATAAGGCGAAAATCAGAACTATTGCTTATGACTCAGGAAACAAAATTTAAGAAACCTTCATTTTTTGATACATGTATTGAAATGCAGTCAGTTTCTGCTTTCTGCTAGCAGAGACTACCACGTTGGCGATTCTTACCATGAATCGCTAAAGGGAGAGTCTGCTAACAGGTTACAGAACAAGGGAGACTCTGCTAGCAGGTTATATTACAGAATCAGTGGAAATGATGTCGATCCCTCGCCCCCTCCCCTCCCCTCCCCTTAGCCTCCGTTGCAGACGTCCTGCGGGGTCGGTTTGGATCCACCGAACCTCACAGGACGTCGGCAGCGGAGGCTACCCTCCCCCGAAGTTAATTGACAACTAAAAATGTTAAGCATACGTCACAAAACTACCTTTACTTCTTTAAGTTTGGCCTCAAAGTCGAGAAGCTCTTTTACTTTTGTAACGATGCTCGTGTTTCCGCCCAAAACTTTTACCAAATCAGTAATGTATTTTTCAGCGGCAGTTCTCTATATCAATAAGTCAATAAATCAATAAATCAATAAATCAATAAATCAATAAATCAATAAAT